ATCTATCTATCTATCTATCTATCTATCTATCTATCTATCTATCTATCTATCTATCTATCTATCTATCCCATCATATATCTATCCCCCCCCCTCTCTCTCTGCATGCCTATCTTCTATCTTCTTTTTGTTATTGTTAGTTGCAAGGTTGTGTCCGACCCATCAGACCCCATGGACAACGTTCCAATATTCCAACATTCTATCTTCTACCTATCACCTATCACCTATGATTCCTCCCCCCCCCCCCAATTAAGAATGAGCAGTGCATGTTCTGTAGAGAGGGCAGCTGTATTCCATCTTGCGTGGACTGAAATTAGGAGTTTTGTAAATACAGAATTTAAGTTTTGAAACTGTAGGTAGATCTCCGTCCCTAAGTGCTGCCATTGTCTGGCCTAGTCACTTCTAATTAACCTTAGAAATGCCACTATAGTTTTTATTATCATTGGCCGATTGGAAGGGACGCTCTGCATTCCTGCAATATTTCACGTGCAGCTATTCTACGTGGCACCTGGTTAGTGAAATAAGAATCTGTAAAGATATTTATTATCTGTAATTTGAAATGAGACGTTGCGATAAATGGAGCAGGCCAAAAATATAGGATAGCATAATTGATTTTCAGTGGAAATGGATCATTATTGGTTAAACATTTCTAGCCTGCGTATTGGTATAACTTATAGCTATATAATTTCATGTAGCAGAAATTCTGCTTTTCTGTGATTATATGTTCAATTCGCCATGCGTATTATGGGGGCTGCAATGCCTTTCATGAGAATAAATAGCTGATAGGTCTCGGAGAGCTTTTTTCATGGTAAAACATTCCAATTTTTGTTTTGAATCACTGTGTGAAATTCACCTATGCAGTTTTGCATTTAGCAATACAATCTTACATTAATACACAGTTGTACTTACTCTTTCATACCTCTATATTTGAGAAACAATATAAGTATGAAATAGGCACATCAAACATTTAGAAACACATCAAACATGCCTCTTAATGTGTGCTTAGGTCGGCTGAATAGCAATCCCTGAAAGATACACGGGAAGCAATGGGATTATAGAGGTAAAATTGCCATGATATTTTTTTTCATTTCTTCCTTTGTAATTGCAAATAATTGGAATATATATTTTGTAAATGCTTAGAATGTCTACACCTATAAATGGAGGCTCTTAGGTTTTTAAATCTACTTTTGCTGATTTTTAAAAAAAATCATCTCTACTCCCATTATATGCAAAGAAACATAATTGATGGAGACATGGGTGAATGCTTAATGTGGAAGCTTAATGACTTAAGCCTGCTTCACTTAACAACTGCAGTGACTCACTTAATGACTGGGGCGAAAAGGTTGCAAAATAGGGCAAAACTCATTTAACACTTAACTGCCTTGTTTAGCAATGGAAACTTTGCGCTCAATTGTGGTTTAAAGTTGATGGGAGTACCTGCAAATAAACAACAAAATTGTCTGCCACATATATTTAAATTCTCCTAAGCCTGCCATTCTAATATTCTCTTTCTCTCTCTTTCCCTCCCTCTCCCCCTTTCACTCTCTTTCTCCCTTTCACTCTATTTCTCTCTCCCTCTTTCTCTCCCACTCGCTCCTTCGCTCTTTTTCTCTCTCCCTTTTTCTCTCTCCCTTTT